GGGCCATAGTTCCCCCATGCTGGCTCAGGAATTCTGGGAGTTGAAGTCCACCAGTCATGAGGGGGCCAAAGTTTCCCCCATGCTGGCTCAGGAATTCTGGGAGTTGAAGTCCACCAGTCATGAAGGGGGCCATAGTTCCCTCATGCTGGCTCAGGAATTCTGGGAGTTGAAGTCCACAAGTCATGAAGGGGCCAAAGTTCCCCCATGCTGGCTCAGGAATTCTGGGAATTGAAGTCATAAAAGAGCCAAGGTGGCCTACCCCTGTCATAAGGAATGAGAAAAAGCGGGCTTCCAAATATAAAGATCTCGTGAATTCCTTGTCCTTATGGAAGTCCACCACATCTAGACTGCCTTGGCTCAACATCTTTGGAGGTGCACCGTCCTCCAAGTAATCGTTATCCCAAAGCTGCTTTTTCAAGAGACAACTGCACTGTCTGGTTTTTCCTTTGAAGACGTTTCGCTTCTCATCCCAGAAGCTTCTTCGGCTCTGACTGGATGGTGGGGAATGGGAGGATTTATACTCCTTGCAGACAGCCGGTCATTTGCATCCTTTTAGAGAGTCCTTGAGGCCACTTGGAGGCTGACCTGTGTCCTCAGGGTCAACTGAGCGGTTCAAATGGGCGTGGAGCCTTCTTGGAACTGCTGAAACGAACTCCACACCCATTTGCACCACTCAGGTGACCCCGAGGACACAGATAAAACCTCCAGGTGGCCTCAATGACTCTCTAAAAGAATGCAAATGACCGGCTGTCTGCAAGGAGTATAAATCCTTCCATTCCATACCATCCAATCAGAGCCGAAGATGCTTCTTGGATGAGAAGGGAAACGTCTTCAAGGGGAATGGAAGGATTTATACTCCTTGCAGTCAGCTGGTCATTTGCATCCTTCTAGAGAGTCATTGAGGCCACCTGTGTCCTCAGGGTCACCTGAGTGGTGCAAATGAGTGTGGAGCCTTCTTGGAACTCTGAAACTTCCACACCCATTTGCACCGCTCAGGTGACCCCGAGGACACAGGTCAAACTCCAAGTGGCCTCAACGACTCTCTAAAAGAAGGCAAATGACTAACTGTCAGCAAGGAGTATACATCCTCCTGTTCCCTACCATCCAGTCAGAGCTGAAGAAGCTTCTTGGATGAATAGAATAGAATAGAGCTGGAAGGGACTTTGGGGGTCTTCTAGTCCAGCCTCCTGTTCAAGCAGGAGGACCTATACCATCTCAGACAAGTTACTGTCTAGTCTCTTCTTAAAAACCTCCAGTGATGGAGCGCCCACAACGTCTGGAGGCAAGCTATTCCACTGGTTAATTGTCCTCACTGTCAGGAGGTTTCTCCTTAATTCCAGGTTGCTTCTGTCTTTGATCAGTTTCCAACCGTTGTTTCTCATCCTGCCCTCTGGTGCTTTGATGGCAGCCCCTCAAATACTGAAACACTGCTATCCTGTCTCCCCTATTTCTTCTTTTCTTTAGACTAGCCAAGCCCAAGTCCCGCAGCCGTTCTTCGTATGTTTTAGTCTCCAGGCCTTGGATCCTCTTAGTTGCTCTTCTCTGAACTTTTTCCAAATGCTCAACATCTTTTTTGTGATACGGTGACCAAAATCGGCTGCCGTATTCCAGGCGTGGCCTTACTAGGGTTTTCTAAAGCGGTACTAATACTTTGCGTGATCTTGATTCTACGCCTGTTTATGCAACCCAGGATTGTGTTAGCTGTGTTGGCTGCTGCTGCTTCCAAGAAGCAAAACGTCTTCAAAGAGAAATAAGAAAGTCCAACTGCCTCTTGGGAAAAAAGCATCTTTGGGACTGCCTTGGTGCCTTCTTCTTCTAGGGGGGAGAGATGGGGGGGCCACCAGAGCCTTGCCACCCCAAGGAAGAAGTCATCCTTTCTAAACCATCTTTCCCTCCCCTCCCCACAACGACGGGCATATGGGAACTCACCGTAGAACCAAGCCACGGCGATGGATTCCAGAAACACCACGGCGATCACGGCCGGCCCCGTGGCATATTCTTCAAAGAGTTTCACCACGTAGGCCCCTCCCTGGTTGGAAGGAAGAAAGGAAGGAAGAAGCATTGAGAGAAGGAACAGGGTCCCCCCCAAACCAGACTGGTGGGTGCAGCTCCTTCGAACTCCGAAAGAAACGCCCCACGTGCGCGAAGAGAAATCGACTGGAAACACACCTTCGGTTTATTGATCTAGCTATCCAATTTATTTGCCACCCATCCCGCAGTGAGTGCTTTAATATTTATTATTATTTATTTGGGGGGGGTCCTTGGTGCTCTCTGAGCTGGGTGGTTTTGTGGCAGACGTTTCATCACCCAACTAGGGGACAAAATCAGGGCTAGAAGGGAGTAGGGTTTGTGGAGAGGAGGAGGAGGAGGAGGAGGAGGAGGAGGAGGA